TTGAGATATTTTAATTATCTGATCGTCGGTTAAAAAAACCGCAGCGACGATGATTGTTAAACTGCTGCTTAACAATAGTTTAAGAAACATGATACTACTTTTATCTTAGATATCTATAAAAATATATTTTTGTTAGAAAGTACAAACGGACAAATAAACACAGCACTGTCTCTACCATGATTTAATGGAAAAGATGGAATTAAGACAAATATATAAAAATAAACTTAATTTTGAATACTTACTCTGTATAATGAGATATACTACAAATTCTAAGCAACTGTATGTTTTGTTACAATAATTAGCTGCAATAAATTAATGTTTTATCCACTATTATTGAAACATGAAAAATATATATGCGCACTTGTGATTTCTTGTTATTTCGAGAAACTTCCAAAAACTAATAACACTTGGCGATATTACAATAAATGTGTATGCCATATGTAAACACACAATTTCTGAGGTCGTTAACAGACGTTTCGATCGAGAAATGGTATGTAATAACAAAGTACGGTGCCGTTCTTCCCATTCCAAATTTGTGCTAGCGATCGAGCGCCGTAAGATGGCAAAATCGTCTATTTCGCGTTGGTCTGAAGCAAAAGAGGCCGTTACGTAGAATGCAAAATTATCTGTAAATATATATATTTGAATTCTTTTATACTGTTTAAAAGTAATATATTCCTTTACCAAAAATTTAAGAATTTTTATAATTTATAATATACATTCAAATAAAATATTATTAACTATATTATTACGAGTTTATATCAGTAAATTGTCTTTAAGCAAGTTAATGAAAAACGTAACTTACTAACATTAGAGTATAATATTACAGTATCGTATATAAGAGAATATAATGAATAACTATTATTTTTTAGGTTTTTGTTCACTCTTTCAAATTTATATGGTAGATATATGAATAAAACGACGGGAAATCTCTCAAATCGATCAAATCAATAATCGTGTTTTTCTCATAACGAAGCAGATTTTTAAATTAAAATTAAAGTTTTCTTATAATGTGGAATAAAAATGTTATAGAGATAGCGTGTTCCAAGAATTATGCCATATCATTTATTATTAAATTAAAAATATTAATAGTACATTAATAAAACACATTCGTAAAGAATACTTTTTATAGGATTTAAAATATTAATAACATATGTAATATGTTATTACATATAATGTTATATATATAATGTTATAATATATATATATATATATATATATATATATATAATATATATACGCATTAAGCTTAAATATGTAATAAGAATAAATAATAATTATACATTATAAAAATTACAACTTTTTTTCTCAGAGTCAAAATTTTAGTTATCCCGAAAAAAAACTGGTTTATAAGTTTGTAAACATTTTTAATCAATTAATGTCGATTTTTATATAGATTTCGTTTCTTCATCAAAAATTCAGCAATCAAACAAAATGACATGAATTTTAGAGAAATGAGTAAAGCTCTAAATGTGAAATATAAATATAAATTTTTCGAACTCTTAAGAGAGAATCAAATGTGGATAGTGCCTCAGTTTCAGAAATAATTAATTTTTTTTTAAATAAATTGTCATATATGGAATATATTTCTTTCCGCGATTAAATAACTAAGTAAATCTGAATTCAAGATTTTTATTAAAATAAATCATTCCTAATCTCTATATAGTATAGACGAAAAAATATCGTGAGAAAATTACTGAAACAAAAATCATTCCTTTATTGTATTATGTGTTCTATCATATTACGTGCATAGTATTGTATTTTACTTAACAATTCTTTTGTCTGCAAGGAATGTTTACAAATAATTTTGTAAGTTACGACAAATAAAAATCTATAGAATTTAGAATTAGTGATTTTAAAAATAAAATTAGAAACCCCTATACGAGTTACGGCTATCATAGAGAAAATATTATTATAATAATTGATATATCTAGCAGACTATTGCATTAATTCGTGTTAACCTATCCATCATTATTAAATTTTTGATAAACTAATGACTCATATAATATTAAAGTATGCGAATCACATTACGTAACACTCTCCCAATCATATTAAAAAATATTTAAATTTATTTAACTAAGAGTTAAACATCTAGATTAACTAAGATTTAAATCTAAAGCTTATAAATTCTTTTTTTAAAATTTATATAAATCGATTTTTATTAAAATCATTAAAGTTTCCAAGTAATGAAATTCTCTTCCTCTTTTGCTTTCACTTGCTCACTCATTCTTTCCCACTCTGTCATTCACTAAAAATTATATATTTTGGAAATAGTATATTTTAGAAAATTAGAAATAAAAATATGCTTATTTTATAAAAGAAGTTAGATGATATTAATTTTTACTTGTTGCTTAGAAATACTGTGACTACAAATATATTCTAATATATTCTTTAATATATTCTAATATATTCTTTAATATATTCTAATATATTCTTTAATATATTCTATATGAAAACAAAAAAAAACATTGCTTAATAAGTGAACATATAATGATATTCAAATTTATCTTTACTTTTGCACTTCTCTCTTTAATGTATGAAAACCATATCTTCTATCGTCATTTAATTTATCTTTCGTTATAGTTCAAAGTTTGTCTGTTAGGACATTGTCCATGTAAAATAGATTATTTTTATATCAATAACAATGTTAAATAATAAATCTCTTCAAGGGGGATAAAGAGGGTTTTATAGAATTCTCAAAAAATGAGAATCTATATCTTGGTATATACACCAAGTAAAATATTTGTATATATGCCTTGTGCACGTTACAAATTTTCGCGAACAATTAATGTTAAGAAATTTACGCACTACCATCCGCGTTTGGCACTTATTCGATCGTATCCTTTCTCAAGTATCGTTAAATAATAAATTTATGTCGCATCATGGTTATTTATTTTATATACATAAGCACGTGCAATTTTTACCTTCTTGAGTTGTTCCGTAGAATAAACATGATTAATAATAACAATAAATGTGCATGCAAGTTAACTTGTTTATAACAGTAAAATAATAAATTTATTGATACACACATAAATTGTTGAATGATAGATATACCTACGGAGAAAAGTGTATTACTGAGATTTTATATTCTCAAGATTGTGTAACCCCAAAAACTTAACTTTTTAAAAAAGGTTGCCAAGTTCATGCACTAATTGTATCCAACTGTCACATTATGTACAAAAGTAGTGATATAAAAAAATAGCGCCAACTAAGAATAAAAATGTGTATAAGATACTATAAATAGAAGTACAAGGAAGAAAGCTTATACAAGTTAAATAAAAATATTTTAATTGAAATTATTTTGTTACACAAAATAGTTGTTTTAATTTTCAAAAATAATAATAAAAACTAAAATAAAAAAATTAAAAACTAAAAAATTAAAAATTTATTTCAAAATTGAAAACTGAAAATTTATATAAAACAAAAAAGTAAAAAAAATTTTAATCAAGAAAATTTAACGCTGCCAATTTTATTAATATATTGTTCAGCTTAAAAGTCTAAATTTCTAAATGTAAATCAATATTAAGTAATTAAAGAAATTAGATTTATTCATTAAATTTAAATTGTTTGACTAATAATTGGAATATGTTCTAATCTTTTAGATTTTCATACTATATAAAGTTGATAAAATAGAAAAAACATAAGCATGAATAAATCTTATAGAAATTTCTAAAGTAAAAAGTATAATTTGTAAAAATAATATAAGAATTATAATAATTAAATTATTAATTGAAGATCCAGAAGATCTTAAGAGAGTTAATAATAAATGTCCAGCAATTATATTTGTTGTTAAATATATATTTAATTAAAATATATGCCAATTTTATTGGCAGCGCCAAGTTTCTTTTATTAAATTTTTTTTACTTTTTTTTATATTAATTTTCAGTATTCAATTTTTAAATAAATTTTTAATTTTTTAATATTATTATTTTTGAAAATTAAAACAACTATTTTGTATAACAATGTTTTCAATCAATATTTCTATTTAACTTGTACAAGTTTTCGTCCTTGTACTTCTATTTATTTTGTACAAATTTTTATTCTTAGTTGGCGCAATTTTTTTATATCACTACTTTTGTAGACAATATGACAGTTGGATACAATTAGTGCGTAAACTTCGCGCTTTTTTTTTAAAGAGGTAAGTTTTTGGGGATTATTATATATACGCGAAATTATATATGAATGTTACATTGTGGGAATACTTGAAAATTTCGAGACAAATCGAATGAGTACTTCTATATCAATAAGATAAAAAGAAAAAAAAATTATTAGTTTAAACGTTATAAGAATAAGAATCTAAAGAATTAAACTAGAATCAATTATTTAAAATTATATGATTTATTTCATTTTGCACACTATTTGAATTGAAATTTTTTAAATCTTGCTGATATCGGGTTCGATTCGTCGCGCGGAGAGGCCGTCCGTAACCAAATTGAGCAACGCGATTGGTCGAAATCTTACTGTTATGTCTTATGGAAAGTGTGTACGTGCTATAGCCTTAATTGTCTTCAATATAATCAAAACGGCCGATAATATCATCAATCTTCTATTATCTCCGGGCCCACCAGGCCCATTTGGTGGTTACGAAAATTTACCCAGGGTTGTCGGTCTTTAACAGTATCTCGTCGATGATATTACTCTCTGAGAACATTCATGGACATTAAGCCCTTTGCACAATGCTAGGCAACAGACAATGGGTGCTTTCCATTTAGCGACACAAGTCGACACAAGCGTCATTCTATCTTTTTTCAATGAATAACAATAAACAAAGATAGAATGACACTTGTGTCGACTTGTGTCGCTAAATGGAAAGCACCCAATAGAAATAAAGAATAGAAACTATTCACCAATAAATACGCGAAACAGAAAATATTCGCCAATAAGAGCAGAGAATAGATATTATTTCTGTTCTTACTGCCTGTTGCCTAACATTGTGCAAGGGGCTATAGCTTTGCAGTTCATGTCTACGTTTTCAATGTCCATAGAAGGAGTATCGCTTTTATGCATCACCTAAAAGCAAGCCATGACATCTCTGTCTTCTCTCTGGTGGCAATAGCAGTGATGATCGATAAGTGAAACTCGCTTCGATCGACATGGAAATCTCGCATACGGGTTGCATCTAAAATCGAAGAGGGGGCAGAAGAAGCGGCATCGTCTCTCTCAAATTTTTCTGTCTATGATCATGTGTTATCTCGTTCCAACCCAACGTTGAATACAACTTTCAGAAATATGATCTGAGCGACTATCATGTCTCGTATGAACGTGATAATTGCTACAGGGTTTATATGATTTACATAATATATAAATATAAATGTAATTTAAATATATATGTATATATATGTATCGAGCTTTTTTAATTGTGAGAACATATGTATTTTATCACTGTGAGGTAATTTATTTATGCTATTTTCCGGGACCAAGATGCCAGAACGAATCGAAATCGGTACGTAATTTTTAATTTCTTACGATATAACTCATATTCATTGTTTTATAATCTTATAAAACGGGAAACAATTTTTAGATATTTTTATATTATTTATAATTTCGCAGTGAATCTTAACCTGATAACGGAGTTGAAATAATTTTATTATTAAAAAGTTCGATAATAATTGATTTTTTTAAATCTCCCAGGTGTCATTCCGAATAATTTGAGACACGAGGAAACTATAGTTCAAATAGCAGAATCTTTGGACAACTTGAGTGATGCTGTCTCATATATATTTGATTGTATAGACAAGAGGCTTTCGGAAAATACGCAGAGGTATATAAAAAAAATTTATTAATTTCTTGGTTGCTAATACTAGCCATAATTATTTATTAGATATAATTATTAAATACGATTGTTAGCTTGATTGAATGATTATTATATATTTAATTTATACAATTTAATTGTAACATGTTTATCTCAACAGTGACAACATTTTTAATAAAATGAACAAATTTATTTTTTTGCAGATTAACTAGCATTAAAGAAAGAGCGAGGAAATTGGAAGATAGATTACACTATTTACAAACTAATTTAAACTTGAAAGCAGTAAAAATGTACTCTGCTGCTAAGTATCCAGCTAGTCATACTTATAAAGAGTATCAAATGACTATACCTCCGCAGCGCAAACATGCGCCTATTATACCAAACGCTTATAAATGTTCTGTGCCTATAAAAGATATTCCCGAAGCGTATTTATCTTCTAATTGTAAGACGGAGGACGGTCAGTACGCCGCGAATGTCAATCTCCAAGAGAAACTCCAATTTTATCATGTACGATCAAAGGCTAGCAAAAAAGATAACCCTGAAGATAATGAGGAGCTATTGCCGCCACAATTATCTTCAGTTAGCGCCCTCCTACTGTTTGACAGTATGGATAGTCCTTATGAAAAAACATCCACTAGATCATCGCGTCAATCTACGGACAAGCAGCAAATTGAAGATGCACCAGATTCGATTGTACAACCGTGGCTCTCGTCAGATATGGACGCGTCTTCCAGTTACTTATATACACCAACTCTCGGAGAGGTCAGATTTTTTTGTATAATAATTTATTTACTTGATAATAATTTATATAAATTTTAACATACTTATATGTTGCTTATTTTAAATTATAATTTTAAAATAATATAATTTTATTATAAAGTTTTCATACATTTTAGGTTCCTCAAATAAACGTACCACTAACACTCCCAGATTTACCGGGCATTGTGGATGATGAAAAATTCGTGCTCGATCTTAATTCCCAAAGTCCCATCGCGCCATCATCCGCAGTCACGACGCCCACCGTTCGCTTGGATCTACCGACACCCATCAGCGACGAAAAAGATTCTGGGTCGAAGATGGAGGATAGTGTTCCACATTTGCCTACAACCATGACAACCGCATTGCAAGAACCTACGCCACCACCTCCTCCGCCTCCTACATTTACCGTAAATGCAAATTGCCATGATGCCGTGAACAATGAAAAAATTGGTTTCCAACAAGTTGCGGCACCTCCGCCACCACCGCCACCACCGCCACCGCCGCCGCCACCGCCACCGCCAGCTACAGACTCGACTGTGTCTTCGTCAAACAATAAAACGGAGAAACAAGAGAAGACAATGAACCGTTTGTCCGCAAATACTACAACGGATGATCGTTCCAATTTAATGGCGGCGATTCGAGACGCTGGCGGGATAGGTAGGGCGAAATTGAGGCCTACTGCACCGGATGCAAAAAAATGCGATAGATGGTCATCGGCATCAGTCGGAGGAGACCTGATGGCGGATTTGCACGCGAAATTAGCTCTGAGACGCAAAGGTATCGCTGGTTCTACGGTGGGCGCTCTGGAAAGAATGTCCAGTCTGATACCACCACCTCCAAAACCAAATGAAGCGTCCGCATCCGATAGAAATTCTGCTACTAGTGAATATGATTCTCAACCTGACACGGATGATTGGGAAGAGTGATTATTACTGTTGCGGTGATTAATCGAGCATCGTACTGTTGAACAATTATTGTAACATATGGAGCAATCTCATCTAGACAAATGGCTTAAATAATCAGTATTCGCATGTGTGAAAACTCAGGGGAAATTCGATATATAATAGACTAATAATCACAATACTGAAATAGGCTGATGGTCACAATACAGATCCAGGTGTAGTGTTTTTTTATCCAACAGATATGAAAACTACTTAGTTTTTAATTTTATTTGGTGTGTGACTGCTGATTATATTTCTCTCCTTTGTTAATTTGCACACAAGTTTATGTTGAAAAAATTTGTGATATTACAATTCACGTAATGCAAGCAGAAAGATATTATATGATAATTATATTTATAAATGAGCAAATTACATATTTTTTATAGGAATAATAGAAGATTTCTTATAAGAATATAACAGAATAGAAAACTTTATTTTGTACATTAATACATAGGTTTTTTTTAGAAAAATTTCTTTATTTATCCATAATTATATAAATATATATTAGATTTTGTTATATTTTATGATCTTCCTCAGAGAGAAATCTTGTACATATAGTATATTACAGAATTACTCCGTTATAATTCCGATTGTACATTTTCTCATATGCAATATAATGTACAATATACAAATGTAACTAATGTACATATATATACTGTTACATTAATAAAGTTTTATATTCAAACTATATATGTATATATATATAAAATACATGCAATACTAATTTGCATATATATTATTGATCATTGAGCAGTCTTTCCATATGCTTAGGAATTGTCACAATTCCTGATACATATAATATAGGTTTAAAATTTGATATATATTTAAAACTTCATGAAACCTAATATACAATACAAAATTATACTATATAAAAAAGTATATCCCCTGATATCATACTTTCATTTTCTTGTATATAACTTTTTTCCTATACAAAGACTATATTGTATCACTTCCTATAATTTTCACACGCATATATAATCTATTTCTGAGATTTCAAAATGTCTGTGAGACAAGAATAAAAAAATTATATTTTATCTACGATAAAATAAATCGTCTTACAACCGCTTAGAATCGTATCTATCAATCGTAGCATTTAGCAAGAGGCAATCGATACCAAGAGAGGCAAGATATCTTCCGAAAATTTTACTTAATTACGTCATATATGATTCAAGTTATAAATTTGGCGCGAGCCAGTTCAAAAATTTCATGCAAATTTCAAAGCCCATAAAACAAGCTGCATTTGCAGGAAAAGCTCGCAACATAACTGGTACCACACCTTTATAAAGAGCTATTGGTCCCTCATTTTTCATCAATTTGACAAATACTTCACGTATCCCGCTCTTATATGTACCCTCTGGTGCTACAATAATAATATATAATATAACGTATAATGAAACAAATTTTTATATTGAATTTTTATATAAATTGATTCTCATTTGAAATTCAATTCAATATAAATATGAAAACAAAATGTCTTTATTATATACCAGTTTGTAGACGGCTTTTCAAGATATCAGGTGGCATTCCCACCAACCAGTTTGCAATACCTGCAAACCCGCCCGCTAATATAGTAGTTGGTAAACTAAGTTTCCCTCCCTCAGGAGTGAATTGTTCTTTTAGATATTCATATGTCAAAAAGTACATTCCACTAGCCGGGATATCTGAAAGAAATATAGAGCATAAATTAGTAATCGCTCGAGTATTCTTACTCCAGAGGCTGAAGATGGCACGTAAACATTATGCACAATTAATAATAGCGAGTAGAGAGCGTGTGGGTTGGCAGATAGAAAGCATCCTGTTTGATAGGAAGCATCAAGGCGCAGATAACATAGTTAACGAAATCCAGTTTCCTTCGAACCAGCGTGCTGTTAATGGTTTCTAAGTATTGTGCTTTGTTTTAAAATCAAAGTTTGTAAAGTGAGACGATATGGCATTCATCCTCTTATTTCTCGTCGTTTTATCTTTGGTATATATACATTTTGATACTTGACCGCACTTATAGATTATTGCTTTGCTACTATAATCCAACTTCTTTTCTATATTATTTCACATAAATAAATAAATAAATTTGATTCATTTTATATATAAATATATAATGAATAAAAAATTACAAATAATTAAAATTAATTTCGAATATGTATCCTGTAAAATAATAAATGATTATAATCTTCAAATATTACTGATATTAATCTTCAAATTACACTGTGCCCAGGATCAATGTATAGGACAAATTATTGATATCGGTGGTGTGTGGGAGATAAGATGCCCACAGGGATGTACTTGCGAGATCCAAAAATTCTCTGATCTGCCTCTACACCAATGGATTGACAGAGATAAAGATCAAGTAGGAACGAATCGTATGGATATCAGATATTCATAATTGTTAATTTTCATATATATAATTTAATTCATATTCAATAGAATGTATCCTCCGATGATGTCGATTTTAATATGGATGATGAGGAGCATTCCATGGCTCATGAATTAATGAAAATAGCAACGTGCGTGATTGTTGAGAATCCTGATGAACTTTTGGCTAAACTTCCTTCAGATATACAGGTAGCATAGAATATATAATATCATATATAATTTTATATATTTATACATGTATCTTGTGTTAAGTTCTTTTGGCTTTCCAGGTTTTAACATTACTTGAATCGGGCAATGGGAACGCCGATATTCTTCTGCAAGCTACTATATTCCAGCGCTTCACCGAGTTGGTATCATTAGATGTTCAAGGGATAGATTATAGCGATCCTTCTATAAAGGAGGCGAATAATTACAAGGAAAAAGGCGGTATTCGTCTCTCATCCGATGCTTTGTATCCTCTAGGATCTACCTTGTTGTATTTAAATTTGGAACGAATTAAATTGTCAAACTTAAATTTGCCAAATAAGAACAAGGCAAATTTGGTGATCAAGCCAATGAATTCTCAGGAAACCGAAGCGATTGACGACAATCGAATCGCCGTAAGTAATGTCAGCCAGCACAAAGGACACAGACTCATCTTTCTGAGTCAGCAGAATAGCGACGACAAGGAAATATTGCCATACGATCTGTATAAACAAGAATTGGAGGGCTATAGAGAAAATGTTGAGCTGTTCGCTGCGCTCGGCGCATTAACGCATTTGAGGGTGTACGGTTGCGCCCTGAAAGACATATCCTGGCATATGTTCGACGGTCTCAATAGCCTTCTTTATCTTTCACTGGAAAAAAATAGTTTAAAGTTCATACCGGAATTTTGCTTCTACGGTACGCCGAACTTGAGATGGTTGTCACTGGCGAGTAATGAGTTATTGACATTGAAGAGTGTAGACTTGGCAGGATTACTTATGTTGGAACACCTGGACTTGCGACAAAATAACTTGACTTTTCTATCGGAATTATCATTTCCGCCTTTTCCGGCGTTGAAGAGCGCTGATTTTACAGAGAACCCTTTGGATTCCATTTTTCCAAGGTAATGTTCTACGCAATTACATCTCGACGATTCGATCTGAAGGAAATGTATGTATTTATATCTGTTTCAGTACTTTCGAGATTATGAATACGACGATAAAACTGTATCTCGGAGGCACGACGTCAAAATTAACACTGCAAAAGAATTCGTTACTTGGTCTACGTAAAGCTGAGATATTATATCTATATAATTTAGATATACTCTTATTAGAACGTTTCATACTACAAGGATTGCCAGCGTTGACGCATCTCAAAATGCGAGGAAACATCACGAATATCGATTTCGATGCATTTGTCGATCTTGCCAATCTGTTGGATCTGGATCTAAGTTCTTGTCACATTGAGAGAATTTCCATGGATGCTTTCTACGGTTTAGAGAAAGTTAGAAGAATCGACCTATCGAAAAACGATCTCGAATCCATACCCCCAGGTTTATTCGTCGCTCAACAACAGAAGGAGCTGAGAGAAATTATACTTACAGGGAACAAATTAACTTCGTTACCTTTGGATTTTTTTAAAAATCTTAGACTGCCAACTAAACAAATACAACAGATACAAAATATAAGATTGGATGAGAATCCTTGGGATTGCACGTGTCTCATGATCAATTGGAATCCTCATCTAGTAACTATCATTTTATTTGATTTTTATCGCTTCGTTTATACTTGATAATGCATCGTTAATAGACAAAACACGAATTGTTAATAATTTTACGCGACGTAGGTGAACAGAAATAAGGAGACAGCTCCGCGATGTTCAACGCCGAAGCGATTACAGAATTGGGGAATTTTTCATGCATTGCGCAAAGGTGGTTTACAATGCAGAAGTCCGAAGAAACGATACCTTCAAAAGTTTTTGAAAACAAGAGGAGAGTTTGAAGAGCATAATGATATCAGTTAGTCAATTTCCAATTTTTTGCAAATTGTATATGTTGATAAAATGCAGAACGGAAAAAAAAATATATCATAAATTTTTATAATATATCAATGTACTTAATCCTTTACTTTGGGATAAATAATAGCACGTATGTAATAAGGTTACTTCTTATCGATATAAATTTCTGTCCATGATATATACAAATGTGAAATCTTTTAAAATATGAAAATATTTGATAAATAACAATTCAAATTTGCAAGAATTAAGAGTAAGATTGCAAATCATACCTCTTAGCAGTGTAGCACAAGTTCCTTTGTAAATACTTCTAATGCCTCCTTCTCGATACAGTTGCTTCGCGCAATCTAGCGGTCCACTGTACTTTGGTTTTGCATCCGCGTGTTGTATTTGCAACAAACATTTGATGCGCTCGCCTGGGGCCATTATAATAGTCGTAAATATGCCGCTAAAAGCGCCGGCGTAAAACAATTGCAATGTCGTAAGTTTTTCATCTGGAAAACTCTGTTGCAGCTTTTTTCCAACACTGTATCCAAAGAAACTTATCGCAAATATTGGAGCAACACCAGATAACGGTGCACCCATACCTAAAGAGAAGAGAAATTCTAAAGTCACCTTTCTTATAAAAATATAATATACAAATTTTTCTTAGACTAGGCTACTAAACATGTCAAAGTATTTAAACTATTTTTGTATATTATTAAACTCGACACATTGGACATATTATTTATGTTATGTTATGTTATGTAATATGAAAGTAATATATTATTTATATGTTATGTAATATGAAAGAATTTTAATAAGAACATTTATACTGAAATGTAAAACTGAGTCACAATGAGTTTTAAAAGTGCTATGATTTTTATATAATATAAGATACATAGAGATATCTTTCATGTTTCAAAAAAGCAACCTAACATGACAATTTTTCTACACGATACATCTTAAATATAAATACCCTTGTATAATCCACGTATTCCTTCTTTGGTAACTGTTTTCTTAGCACAATCCCATGTACCTGAATAGAGAGCCAATTCGTTAGGCCCTGGTATTGGCATCGTCTGAAGACGCACCTATAACATAATTTCTTTTTTAGAATCTTTACAGAAAGCATGTTGTCATCTATTTAAATAGATTATAAACAGGAGAAATAAAGGCAAACTACACTTCCAACGCGAATCCCATTCAATTGATGAAACTCGATTCTTCATCTGGAGCTAATTATATCAAGCACATTGATTCACTGGAGGATAATAATTTTTTAAATCTTTAGAAATTTTCTATTCGATCAATGTATGTGCTTAAAAAATTTCTCGTCCGACAAATGTAATATTAGGCTAATGCATTAATATAAACAAGTGTAACCTCACCTTTATGGTGTCCAGAGGATGGCCAGCCACGACGGTGCATACTCCGCCAAATCCACCGCTCAGGAAATACTTAATAGGGCTAACGCTGTCCGACATGATTAACGTCCTACAGCTGACTTGGAAATACTGAGCAAATAGTAATTCTAAATCTCATTCAACAAACTAGAGGTCAAAGTACACCAATCACAAGTCAATTGACCTTTGATTAAACTTCGATGTGTCAGGAGCGTAAATTCCATCAATCTCGCTCGTGATATGTTTCACGGTGTTTCACACATTTCATGTATACATCCATATTTATATTACGATGATACTTTAATATTCGTGGAGACATTTCAACGAAGTGCGATACATCTGCATTTAAATCGACAAACGCGTCCTTTTAACGCAAACATGGCGATGAGCGGCTACAAGTGTAGCTCTACAAGTGTAGCGTCTCTAGCCGCACATTTTTAGTATCTGCGTGACAGCTGGCGACACGTTGGCCGCTTTTATGCAAATGTGAACATTACGGTTCTTGAATGTACGATGCACAAGTTTGTTGTCGTCTATTATTACTATTGACGTTCGACACGTCGACGAATGCATGCCGTCGAGCCGGCTTTGCGTTATCTCGATTTCTTTCTTACTACGAGAGGTATCGCATATTTCATTTATTTATCTTTTGGAATTGTCGATTGAAAATAGGACGAATTACGCAGCGATTGAATTATGAATAGCGTCAACTGTTGAGATAAAATGCGCGTCATCGAAAGAATTTACGAGAGAATAGTCTTTTATATTAAACTAATATAAAAGTAAAAAATTATTATATAATAATCATGCATTTTAGTTTTTAGATATATAACTTGCAAAAGATGAGGATTGTACAGTTTAGAAGAAATCGCTTGTTTCATATACTCATTGGCAGTACATTGATGTTGCTACTTTTATACATTCTTTTTAGTTTCTCTTCGGACAATCATGTGAACAATATAAAAGAATGGGCACAAGGTCTTACACAGAAACAGGTAAATTCTTTGATATATTTGCTTATTTTTAATAAATACTTAATTTATCCTGAACAAGTGTGCATTAAAAGAGTAATATTGGAGCTTTCAAATTTGTCTATATTTTTTTCTAATATTATTTAGGTACCAGTGTTTGTAGAAGGTTTAGGAAATTACGAGCCACGCGATGTACCAGTTAGATCTGGTCCTGGAGAAAATGGTAAACCACATATTTTAAGGGACGATCAATTAAATGACGTTCAACAATCAGAATCTGATTATGGCATGAACATGGTGTGTTCTGATGAAATCTCATTGTCAAGATCGATCCCAGATACTAGGCCAGCAGAGTAAGCCGTTTTCCTTGTGATTAATAATATTATAAAGCCTGCATCTATATTTTTATATCTTGTATTGTACAGATGTAAACATTGGAATTATCCAGAAGAATTACCACGCACTAGTGTCATTATAGTTTTCCATAATGAGGGCTGGTCAGTTTTATTACGAACAATTCATAGTGTTATTAATCGCACTCCATCAAAATTTTTAGAGGAGATCCTTCTTGTTGATGACTTCTCTGATAAAGGTACAATCTCTCTGGACTAAGATATGATAAAATCTAAAAAATTTAGTAGCTTATAATTAGCAATCTTATAATCTTTTGCAGAAAATTTAAAGGGTGACCTAGATTCCTATATTGAACAATGGAATGGAAAAGTTAGATTACTTAGAAACTATGAGAGACAAGGTTTAATACGGACACGATCTCGAGGAGCGCGTGATGCCAAGGGTGAAGTAATAGTATTTTTAGATGCTCATTGTGAAGTCAATGTCAATTGGTTGCCACCACTCTTAGCACCAATTGCTGAAAATAGGTAAAATCATAATCATAATAAATTATTCAATCATACACTATTGAAAAAATTGAAAAAAAAAATTATAATATTTTTATATCTTGAAGAAATTTAACATGATAAAAAAAATAGCATAATAATTAAATTCTTCCTATACAAAATTTTTTTTCAACAAATATGATTTTGCAATTTTTCTTCTTTTCTAGGAATGTAATGACAGTTCCTGTGATAGATGGCATTGATCATAAAACATTTGAGTACCGTCCTGTGTATCAAGAAGGTCACTTGTACAGAGGAATTTTCGAGTGGGGCATGTTATACAAAGAGAACGAATTACCCAGACGGGAAGCCAAAACACGTGCATATGACAGTATGCCGTACAGGTACAATTTTCATTTCAAGTGCTTGATATAATTTCATTTCTACTTATACTGTACAATACTTTTCGACCAATTTTATATCGTTTATGCGACTTGCAGATCACCTACACACGCTGGTGGTTTATTTGCCATAAATCGACAATACTTTTTGTCACTGGGTGGATACGACGAGGGATTACTCGTTTGGGGAGGGGAAAACTTTGAACTGTCATTCAAGATATGGCAGTGTGGCGGAAGTATTTTGTGGGTACCGTGCTCACATGTAGGACATGTTTACCGAGGATTTATGCCTTATACGTTTGGTAAACTTGCTCAAAAGAAAAAAGGACCGTTGATAACTATCGTGAGTAATCGATTTTATCGTATGTACAATTTCTCTTTGAGATAGTAATCTCCTATTGCAGAATAAATTCTTTTACAGAATTATAAACGAGTTATAGAAACATGGTTCGACGAGAAACATAAGGAATTTTTTTATACCAGAGAACCATTGGCTCGATTGCTCGATCACGGCGATATATCCGAGCAATTGGCCTTCAAAGAACGAAAGAAATGTAAAAACTTTCAATGGTACATGGATAATGTGGCCTATGATGTATTGGACAAATTTCCAGAATTGCCACCAAATATACATTGGGGAGAGGTACCTTTTTGACCGAATGCATATCTATGTTTTATCAACAAATCAAATACACAAACTTTTATATGTATAACAATAATAATACCTTTTTAGTTGCGAAATGTGGCAACTGGATCATGTTTGGATACTATGGGTCATGCACCACCAAGTCTTATGGCTACTTCCCACTGTCATGGCTTTGGAAACAATCAGGTAATTTGTTAAAAACAAAAGGGAGGATAACAGTTCATAAGATAACAATCACAATTTGATAAAAGAAAAAGGCTAAAGACCCGTGGCGTAGGGTATTATTACGTAATTGAAATTAAAAACTTGAATCTAGGACGGAAAATTTATATATTTTTTAATAATAGTAACAAAACATTATCCGTCGAAAAAAATAATACGAATACAAAAAAATATCGACAGACGTATGTTTCGATCCAATGCGGATCTTTTTCAATGTCTTACATGGATTGCATAATATTAGAACGCGAACGGTGCAAAGGCGCGTATAGTACAAAATACTCGAAAGGTCAAACACATAAATTCAAACGGTCGACTTATAAAACGCAAAGAATAATAACGGTTATAAATAAGACTTCTTTTTGTTTTAATAAGGCAATATATATCTTTCCTGATTTTTCATTGTCATTTGGACGAATTTGATTTTATCGCGATGAGCGTTGCGCTTCTTGCTTGGATGTCATTGCCATGCATATATATATATATATATATATATATATATATATATATATATATATATTATTTATTTTTATCATTTTGTACAAGCGCTTTTGTTTCATTATTATTCTTTGCATTTTATTAGTCGAACGGTTAAATTTGTGTGTTTGACCTTTCGATTATTTTGTATTGCTTTTGCAACGTTCGCGTTCTAATCACGTTTTGCGATCCGTGTAAGACATTGCAAAAGATCCGCATTGGATTGAAAGTAAGTCTGTCGATATTTTTTTGAATTCGTATTATTTTTTTCGACGGATAATGTTTTGTTACTCTATTATTAAAGAATAGATAAATTTTCCGTCTTAGATTCAAGTTTTTAATTTCAATTATGTAATAACACCCTACATCACGGTCCGGTCCTTAGTCTTTTTCTTTTATCAAATTCTAAAATATCTTATTTTTTTCCTATTCAGATATATAAATTAGACAACTTTGTATTTTATACATTTTTAAAATTATTTTATAACTTTATAAAATTTCCTTTATATTTCTTGTTAGCTTATACGGTTGAATGCGAAAGGTCAATTGGGTATTGGTGAAAGATGTGTTGAAGCAGATGGTCAAGGTATAAAATACGCATTTTGTCGTTTAGGAACTGCAGATGGTCCATGGCAATATGATGAAGTAAGTTATCTTTTGACAACAAAAATTTTTCAAATAAATACGTCTTTGCAATTTTATCAACATATATTAATTTGCATTTGTAGAAAACAAAAACTCTGTTACATAGAGTACATAAAAAGTGTATGGCACTTCATCCCCAAACTCAACAGTTATCTCTAATGCTATGCGACATAAACAATACTTATCAGCAATGGAATTTTCATCAAATCCATCCACGATGGTAATATAAAACAGAAAAATTTATAAAATCTGTTTTGCTTATCAAAATGTGATTGTACATTGTTCGATAAGTTGTGCACAGATTTTTGCAAAGAGTGTGCAATTTATATTTTTAGTAATATATAATGCAGGATGATTTGACATATGTTTGCTGACATTGTTTACTAATTTATTATACATATGTTAGAGAGTGATATACATAAATAACAACTATAAAGTTTTCAATATTAACATATACATCGAACAAGAACAATATTTAAGAAAAATTCTCATTTTTATATTATTTGTTAAGACGTGAAAGAGTTGCTAAGGAAACACGTATATTATGAAATGTAAAAAAGAGTAAATTTCACACATTTAGATTTGAATTTTAAATTTGAAATATCTTTTTTCTAAAGATTAATCAAGCCTGCGTGATCTAAATATATAATTTTCACGAATTTTATCTATATTTTATTTATGTTATTTAATCATGCAAAATTTTATTTATATCATTTAATCATGTTATTTCTTCTTTTTTGAGAGATAAACACTGGCTGAAACAACTAATAACAAAAAAACATTTTAAAGTGTTTAATAGCATTTATTTTTACATGAAACATGTATGAAACATGTATGAAAAAAATATTTCTCCATAAATGGTGTGTCCATTGCTACTGTCAATATTTGTTTCTATAAAGTTTCCTATAAAATTGATTTATTAAAAAACTTAAAATATTTAATGTTTCAACAATTTCTTGAATTATGGAAATATATTTTTTACATGCTATGCAAAAGATAAAGAATCTTACATCTACATGTGATGTGTAGAGGAAACTATTTTTAAATTATTTTTGAGTTATAAAATTAATTAATTATATATATCTGCATATATAAATTTTAATGCAAAAATATATATAAAAATATATAAAAGAGATACATTTTCTTGATTGAAAGATTAAAATACTTATTAGACATATAGTATCTGTATGTGACACTTATTTTTATACCAGTGTCTGTACGAGGTCTGTAAATAAAGTAATGAGACTTTTTCGAGATAAACTTTTATTTATAATATAACTATAATTTAACTCTGTCTCCTTCAAAATAGTTCCCTTGGGAAGTCACGCAGCGCCTGAGACCTAGTTTCCAGTCTTTATAGCAGTGCTAGAACTCAGAAACACGAATAGCCTTCAGCTGGTCGGTTACAGCCGCTTTTACGTTTTCGTATCAAAGTGATGTCCTTTAAGACGAGTTTTCAATCTCGGGAAGAGAAAGAAGTCACAGGGACTCAGGTCAGGCGAAGTCTGTGCTTTCGATTACGGAGTTTTTGGCGTTACGGAAAAACATTTCTGTCATTCCTCAGCCCCCGTATTCGCCTGACCTAAGTCCCTGTGATTTCTTTCTCTTCCCGAGATTGAAAACTCATCTCAAAGGACATCACTTTGATACGACTGAAAACGTAAAAGGCTGTAACCGACCAGCTGAAGGCCATTCGGGTTTCTGAGTTCCAGCTATGAACATTGGAAACAACATCTCAGGCGCTCAGTGGCTTCCCAAGGGAACTATTTTGAAGGAGACAGAGTTAAATTATAAATAAAAGTTCATCTCGAAAACGTGTCATTACTTTATTTACAGACCTCGTATTTCGCATGACGATGTAAAATAAAACATTTTATATCTCCAATTTTGAATGCAATATAGGAAAAATCAATAATTATTAAAACAAAACAAAACAACTATCCAGAATATTAATATAGATATATAGTAATTTTAATTATAATAAACATTCCATTTATTATTTATATAACTATGTATGTGGAATTACAAATTTTATTTATGTTCAATATATATTTTGATCAAAGTCAGGAGAAGAATATTGTTTGTTGTTCTATTGAAAATATTGTATTTTATATATATGGAATTATAACTGTATGTTTCAGAGAATTAATCCTTTATATCTTCTAATTATGGTTTAAAGGAATTATTTGGAATTTTTATATTTTAATTTATATTTTAATTTTTATATTTTAATTTATATTTCGGTATATATTTTAAGGAATATTGCTCTTCTTTACTGCGTAAAAAAACTGCCACTTAAAAAAAAAATAGTATGATATTGCGTATATCTTTCGCGACGATGGACATTTCTCTTCATCGAATATGACGATTACATATTGTGTATATCCTGAAGCGGCTATTCTCATTTATGTACTTAATTCACACAATCAAAATTGAATTTAAGATTTATAAGTAATAGATGTGATTGTGCTGATTTAATGCAAAATAGATGCAGTAATTTTTAATATAAATATATATTATATGCAAGATGTACTTGGCTCCAGTGCCGTGTTGTATGAGATTGTATTTTGATTAAATTTTTAAGAGGATTATACATATGTGTGTGTTATGTACATATCTTTTTTTTTTCAAGTATACAATTATTAAGACTTGAAATGAATTTTATATATAAGGTTAATTATCTCTTTTAAGGTTAATAATTTAAGGTTAATTATCTCTTCTTTTTAACACGTCAGGGAAATTTGTTTCCTTTGATGTAAAAATTCTCAAATTCATAAATACACAATATAATTTTATGGTACTTACATCTATGCTGTTATATATACTAAAATAATAAATTACTGATATCTCGTAAACTTTTTATTGTTCTCAGTATTAACGCGTTTAAAAAATACATTATGTAAAGCTTTTGCAAAAAACATATTCTAATTGTTAAGGTGAATAGGTTTTTATAATATCAATCAAACAAATATGATGAACGTGGATAAATTTGTAACGAAAACCATATTGCGTATATTGATAACACGTGAAGAGAGTATATGATATTATTATTACTAATTATATTTATCGTGCTATGTAAATTTAAAATCAATTTTAAATTGCATTTTCTGATTTATTGATTTGTATTGACAATGTCATCAATTTTCAGTATACTGCGTACGGTTTCGGAAGCGAGAGTTATCGAACTGGTAGAAACCAACAATGGTTGAATTACGTTCTCTTCCAATATATTAGTAATGGCGCCCTTTCGTACGTTAATTCCCGCTGTTACTTCACCCTTCGCGTGTCGATTGCGAAGTTCAGTTACTGTTGCTATCGGATTCAAACCTGCATTCTCGGCTAACGTTGACGGAATCACCTAAAATTGATAAATTATAAAAAAATTTATCAAAGATTGTATAATTATTTCAAACTTGTTTGCATTTTTCGCAATATATACAGTTCAATATTTGTATAAAACAATATTAAAGTACAAATTATAATTTATCTACAGAAAAAATTATGGAATGTATTTAATACTGACTTCAAGTGCATTTGCAAAGGCCTTGATACAGTATGCATCAACTCCACCTAAGGTCACTGCGTATTCTCCTAGTTTTAATGCTAATTCAATTTCTGGTGCACCGCCACCGGCGATCAGTGCTCTTTGTTTTACTAAACACCGGATGACGCACAAAGCATCGTGTAGCGATCTTTCGGCTTCTTCCAAGACTAATTTGTTGCTACCGCGCACAAGAACTGTGACCGTTTTTCCATGATTTTGAATGCCTGTGATCTGTATATATTAAAACAGAAAAATATGTTAATTATATCAATAATTTAGATATAAGAAATGTAACATTTTATTACAGAAAGAAATATTAAGAAATATTAAACATTAATCTTAATATTGCCGTTTCTGTCAAATAAATTCACCTTAACAAATTTCGAGTTTCCGGTTTGAACTTCTTCGCAAAGTTCTGCGTTAACAAGATTTTCGGCCACAAAATGATCCAACGATGCGATCGGCCGGCAACCTAGCGTTTTACACACAAAGGGAATGTCCTCGCGCTCTACATCTTTTATTACCATAACTTTAATCTTGTCTAAGAAATGTATTGCGAGATCACTAATGGCATCACGCAAAATCGACTTTTGCACTAGGAGTACATTGCAACCAGTTTTCTTGATCTGTTTAATGATATTCAATATATAAGCACGTTCTTCCTTTAAGACACGATCCATCGCCGCATAGTCAGATACAACAACATTATGATCCATCTAAAAATTCAAAAATCAAGAAATTAATTTATTCACTCGTGTAAAGAACCATAAATGCGGATATGCGTCCATATTATTACATTCATGATACTCACATCAGTTTTTGGCGGCGAAATGCAGAATTGAATCAATCCAATTTTAGCTTTTTCTATACGTTTCGGGCCATTAATATTACAAGATTTTTGGGTAAATATCAATCCTTCTATTAATTCGGTATCTTCGACAGTACCTCCCAATTTTTTTATTACTTTAATATCCTATAAAGGTAATAGAAAAATATCAGTTAATAAAATTTATGTGACATAAACAATAAAGCATATGTATAAAAAATTTGTTCTCACATTTAAGTCAACTGATATTTCCTTTCCTTCTTCTGTAACTTTTAATACTGCATCTACAGCAAGTGGTGCAAGAAGACTAGATTGTTGATGCACAACCTGAAATAATATAAAGATAAAAATATATTGAAAATATATTGAATTGTTATATATAATAATTAAACAACTATATATTATATTAATTACTTAGAGAGATAATCAAAATGATTATTATTATTGTATAATTTCAACACTCATACATCAACACTAATTTAGATACCTTGGAATTGAGAGATGTTGCAGCAACCTTTACAAGAGATTCTTTATCCGTTAGGTCAACAGGTATGGACATGTGTAACAGAATCAATACTCCTTCAGCTGCTGCTTTCTGAAAAGCATCACTAATCGAAGTAGGATGAATACCTTTCTGCAACAAGCGTTCCGCCACCTCCAAAAGTGCACCACATATCACAACAACACTCGTTGTACCATCACCAGCCTCTACATCCTGAGCTTTAGACAACTCAACAAGCTATAAACACAAAATATGTTGTGCATTATTTATTGTCACATAATAATTTTATTAAATTTTAAAATGAAAAATTTATTCTTACCATCTTTGCAGCAGGATGGATTACATTCATTTCTTTTAGGATAGTAGCACCATCATTTGTGATAGTAACTTCTCCATTACTAGCTTGAATCTGTCATCAGGCATATCAGATATCAATTAATATTATAATAATTTTAAATAGGTTTCAAAAAAGCAAGATAAGTATGAAAACAACATGATAATTAAGAAACGAGCGATTAAGAGCCAAACGCGGATGGCAATGTGTAAATTTCATAAACATTAATTATTCATGAAAATTAAACATGCCCAAGGCATTTATATATATATATATATATATATATATATATATATATATTTTACTTGGTGTATATACCAAGATATAGATTCTCATGTTTTGAGAATTCTATAAAACCTCTCTTTACTCCTATGAAGAGATGTAGACAAGAAAAATATCGGGGCGAAGTCACTGAATTGGAAATCGAACTCGAGTTTTTCGCTTGCCTATTCTTTATCAATTTATTTAGAAATGCACGCGGAGCTGAAAAAGATTGTGTTCTCATTATTTCCATAGATTAATAAAAATAGACAGGAGAAGTGTGGGGCTGAATAGCTCAGTGGTAAGAGCAGTCACCTGGCAAGCGAGACTCGGGTTTGATTTTCGATTCAGCGACTTCGCCCCAATATTTTTCTTGTCTACATCTCTTCAGAGGAGTAAAGAGGGATTTTATAGAATTCTCAAAACATGAGAATCTATATCTTGGTATATACCATGGTATATGCACCAATTAAATTATATATATAAATGCCTTGGGCATGTTTAAATTTTCGTGAACAATTAATGTTTATGAAATTTATGCATTACCATCTGCGTTTGGCTCTTAATCGTTCGTTTCTTAATTATCATGTTGCTAAATATATAGAGCCGAATTCTTTATCAATTTATATAAGTATAAAAATTTACCATCTTGTCCATTCCCCTGGGTCCAAGACTCGTCCGTATCGCATCGCTAACAGCTGCAAGAAGAGAAATAGTTAATATATAATATAAACATAAAAAAACAAAAAGTTTGATGTAATTCGTGAATAAAGAGACCTCAAAAGGACACCAAATTTTCAATATAATACATTATTGTGGGAGAACATTTTTTTCTATGTTCATATAGTAACACATTTATTTATAATCAGATGTTCATAAGCAGACTCCATTTATAATATACAATATCGATGCGTGAAGAGGTATTGCGGCACATTGCTATATAAGGTAATATTTTCTCGCCACGCGGAAAAAGGACCTATCGCTCTCACCTTTAGCGGCATTGATGTTGCTGCTGCGGATATCCGTGGGTTTGCTCTTATCTTTATAAGCCTGTCCATAAGCCCCGCGATAATCGCCGTTTTCCATCGGCTTCCTCAGCACATTTTTGGTCATGTTTCTCTCGGTTAAAAATTTTCAGACGAGATGTTAAAGCAGAACAGCGTTGTTACCTCTCCCGAATGGCGATGGCGATTCATGCACGTTTCGGTCGCGTCTGTAAATTCACTCCAATCTGCTCGTCGAATAGACTAGAAATCCGATTGTCCAATCAGAACGAAATGAACCAAGGTTTCTGATTGGTCAAGAGGACACTGCTGTATTCCGATGAGTAGAAATCCGAATGATTTTTGAACGCAACCGGAAAACCGATTGGCTATACGTTTATTCTCCGGAAGTCGAATGAAAAGCAAGGATAAAGAACATGTAAGATAAAAAAAATTCTTTAGGATATAGATATTTCAGATAAAAACGGAAGTCGTGTAAAAGTAGTATTCAAGTGATAAATTCATATCTCTCGCATGCACGATTAAAATTTTTATACGCATATTCTCAAAGTAACATTTAGCCTAGAAAGGATATCATTGTAATGTATTGTGTTTTATATTTAATTGCTTTTTATATATCTCTAATGTTATATTATTATTATATATTATTATAATTTTATATTTCTATTATACATTTCTAATATTTTTATATGTATTTATATATACTTCTTATAACATTTTTATATATATTTCTTATAATACTTTTATATATACTTCTACATAGAGAGTTATTTATTTGATTTTCTATTTTTTGCTTACTTTTTCTCTTTTTCGAATTAACAACTCAGGTAGCAAGATGACGTCTAAAGACGTCTTAAAGACGCCTTAAAGACGTTATAGACGTCTTTAAGATGTCTTAGACGTCATCTTAATACCTGGGAATTTAACAAAATCCCTCAAGATTTATCATCTATTTATTTATTTGCGATTCATCTATTTATTCACTCAAAGTTAAAAATAAAAAAAGCTCAAATATTCAAACGTGCGGATAAAATTTTAAATTTGCAGAAAAAGAAACTACGCGAGGTGTTCCTCAACAAGTCGTCCGTTCGACGCACGCGTAGAACCGGCCCTGACTAGAACAATCTTCTCCCCGCTCCCCTCCTCCCCCTTCCTGTAGCCGCCCTCCCTCCTCGCGTCAGAAGCACCTGTTGCTCGCCTACCTGTTTTACTCGCTCCGTCGTCCGCGTCCGCGGCTTCGTTTCGTCACGTCAGTGCGTCGCGCGTCGTCGCAGCGAGAGGATCGTGTGAGCTCGCGTCCGAGATTCTCTCTCGCGCGCGCGCGCGAGAGAACGTCGTGAAGTCGCGCGCGTTTCGCGGAAGGCCCGGCAGAAATGTTGCGTCCATCGCCGCGCTGACATTCTCAGGAGCGAAGAGAGTTCTTCGTCGGAATTCGGTGCTCGTTCGACGACCTCGGCGACGAGTCGTCATCGAAAACATCGCGAGGACTTTGCGCGCGAGCGCACATGTTCGTTTAAAAGCGACGCGCGATGAGTCGATCGCGACGATAATCGGTTTTCGACTCGCGCGTCCGAGACGAGTCGTCTAGGACACGACAGAGGGAAAAACGGAGAAGGAAGGAACGAGGAGGAAGAGGGTAAAGGAGCGAGCAGCCGGGGATTCACACACGCGCGAAACTATGCGATCAAATTGACGACACGGTCGAGAGAAGCAAGGAAAGAAAGGGGGAGAGAGAGAAAGAGAGAGAGAGAAGAAAAAGAGCGGAGGAACGCGAGTCGCGGGCAGGAACGGCCGCGACCGGTTAAAGCCGCGCGAAGATATGCGCGAGAGGCGGATCTGAGCGCGAGTCATGGAAGACGCAACAGCAGCGGTGCAGGATACCTGCTTCGGGGCGGGCAGCGTGGCCGGGGCTGTGATCGGGACCTTTCTGACGACGATCCTCCTCCTCGCCGTCGCCGCTCTCCTCTACAGGCAGTGGCGCAGACATAAGGGTGAGTTTTGTCTTGTTTATATCCCAGGGTTGGTCGGAAAAAAGTCCGGCGAGTGAAGAGTTGTGGCAAGTTTCAGAAATTTTTTATTCCCCGGACTTTATCCGATAGAATGAACCGGCAACGACTATGAAAATAATTAATATATATTTACATGATTTTATGCAAAAATGTTTATTTTTGATTTAATTAATAAATCATATCAGTCATTATAGTTTAAGTGTGTATAATAATAAAATCTTTTTCAACTCGCATTGATATTGTTTTTTAAAACAAGCTGTAGAGATAAAATTTTTTTAATAAAAACTTTAGAGATATATAAATGTTACACTTAGTTATATTAATAAGAAAAATATAATACTAGTGGAATTCAAAATTTTTAATGCTGTAGGTCTGATTTGCATTTACCATTTAATCTTCTAACAAAAACTAATTTATTTGTTATTTCCGAATTTATTACGGATTTTTTATTTTAGATGAAGCTTAAATTAAAAACACTTTCTCAATTGACGAATATAAATAAAAAAGTTTTTCGGTTTATTTTAATATTTTTAATAGGAAAGACCGGTTTTCTATCACTGACATGGTTTTTATCCAAAAAAATATGGAACTGTACCAACCCTGGATTTATCATGATATACTATGGACAACTTCTTAATTCGATCTTCCGATAATTATTTACCAAACATTTGCGAATCAATACAATCATAAAATAATTCGTTTGAATTCTTGACTCGTGTTCAAACGTCAGAAATTTGTGAACATGTAAAATTTTTAATGCTGTAGGTACTTTCGAGAGTTTTTTATAATAACTCGATAAGATGTATCACTTTTTCCATTTCGAGATAATTGCTATAAAATAATTAGAGAATATAAAATCGTGGTACACACAATCAATTCCCTATAATTACTGAATTTTTCAAGAGTCATCTTTTTTAATTTTTCTTCTCCCTTTTATTTCTCAAGCAGAATTTCTTTTCTTTCGTAATCGCTAAAATCGCTAACATCATTAAGATTGATATGATTTGATACTAATGATAATTAGCATCGCGTTACTTTCTTATCATTTAAAAATCGAAATCGTTCTAAATCTCATTTTACTGTTTATTTTTTCAAGTGATTTGATTTAATAAAAGTGTAAATATGGCCTAGATTTTTATTTTCGTTTTCTTGATTCGAAAGATAAATCGGACAGGTATCAAAGTTTATTGCAAAAACAAACAATAAGCGAGTACTATTCAGACGAGAAAGCAAAAGAGGATGCACTTTACACTTCGATGAACATCAATTCGAGTGTTAATTGATACTATTTTTAAACTATTTTTGTCTCGATCGATTCTCGCAGTACGTATCTTCCTTTTGATTCGCGAATATTCTTAGTGATGCGATATGTCATTTGTTTAAATGATTATTATAATTTAGATTATAATTTAAATGCTAAAATTAGAGTCTTCGATTTGAGCGTAATGATGGCGATTAAGATTTAAAGTTGCGTGACACGAAAGATATCTGGCACCTGTCGTTATCGTTTTTGAAAGGGAATTGAAAGTAATTTTACATATATCATGTGACACTTTCTACATGAGACGGTGCAACGAATCAAACATGCTGCGAATTTCCGCGAAAATTTTGTAGCAATTTAATATCCTTAACAGAGACTACCTTCAAGAATAACATTGTTTTCTTCTTTCAATAGAGAAAAATGTTTTAATAAAAAAATATTTCGTCAAAGAGATTCCTTGACAAAAAAATTTCAACAACCTGGAAGTTGCAATATTAAGAGAGAACTCTTTCTTGACGGAGAAAAATAAAAATAAAAATCTTTAATGAAAAATGACAATCCTTTTTTGATACGAAATTAATCATTTTTAAGAGTAACATTGTTTTCTTCTTTCAATAGAGAAAAATGTTTTAATAAAAAATATTTCGTCAAAAAGATTCTTTAATAAACATTTTCTTAAGAATCTGAAAATTGCAATATTAAGAGAAAATTCCTTCTTGACGGAGAAAAATAAAAATCTTTAATGAAAAATGATACTCCTTTCTTGATATTAAATTAACCATTTCCAAGAGTAACATTGTTTTCTTCTTTCAATAGAGAAAAATGTTTTAATAAAAAATATTCAAAAAAGAAAATAAAAAATTTTCTTCAAAATCTGGAAATTCCAATATTAATTTAAGAATAAATTAAACTAGGAAAATATTAAATTAATAAAGATTAAATAAATTAAATTAGATTATATTAAATACATTAAATAGATTAAATTAGACATTAATTTAGGAATAAGAAAAATTCCTTCTTAATGAAGAAAAATGAAAATCTTTAATAAAAAGTGACAATCCTTTCTCGATATGAAGTTAACCTGCTCCTTCTACGCATTTGAAAAGTATTTAATGTCAAGAATTCGAAAAACGTGACGCAAGTAATGGCCTTACGAGTCTCTCTGCGAAAGACAGGATCATAATCCCTCGATGTAAACTCAGTCCGAGTAACTGGCTTGATTTCGATTATCGAAACAAAAGATTGACATTCTACGGTCACGAAAGAATCGCCTCGTATCTCGTTAGGATCGCATTCTCGCATCGGTTCGTGACAATCGGCCGCATTTTTGCCGAGATTTTCACATAGCCGCGGCCACACGCACGTACGATTCGATCGGTGAAAGTAATTTAACACGTCGAACGGCTGCGGCGAATGCCGGTATCTGTTACGATGACGTTGACGTTGGCGAAATTCCGATGTTACGCGCGCGTACGAATATTGATTCGAGCTGTTACTTTCGTTTGCGAATATTCAGATTTCGAGTCTCGCCGCAGAACTTGCTACAACATCGTGATGCCGAAATTTAATTAATTTCGTTAAATTTAAATACTCGAGGAAACTCGTTTTCGTCCATCGTGACTTAGATTTGTGCGTTAATTTGATCGCTAAGGATCTACTCGAAATTAATTTTCTCAGGCCCACGAGTATATCCTCCAAGATTAAATTCTTGGAGCCAACAAAGGCTCGGCGCGAGGCAGAGGAAAATAAAGTACGTATCCTTAGAGGAAATACCTCTGGCATTGTAAGAGCAACCGATGCGAATGTGTGCGTTTGTGTGCTTCTTGTGTGTATGTAACATGTTAGTTTCCCGGCAAATTCTCTCGTACGAGCGCTATCGCATCGCGAATGTTGGCGAATCGCGACAAGATTTACGTACCTAAGGAGAAACGCGGAAGCGCTCGAATCCCGCTCTTCTACCTGTTCTCGTTCGTCCTCGGCGACGCGAGTGTTCGATATTTCGTTACTGCCAAATAGATGATGCAAAACGATGGCAAAGTCACCCTCAACGTCAAGAATAAGGAGTAGATACTTGGATATCTCTACGAAAACTAAACATTTATGTTAGCGTATTTAATCGTACTTAAGGGAATCTAAATATTCCTTGCATCCCTGCCTTCCTTTCCCCCCGTATTTCTACGTTCAAAGTTAAAAGGGTACAAGTCTTTCTCCGTTTTAACGTCGCGTGACTTGTGAAAGCAGATCCGCAATTTTGTATTTAAGTCTACTTCCGAGATGAAATTATTAAGTAGTCTTGTGTAGATGAGTATTTCGAGGAATATAATAAACAGATCATTTTTCAATCAATCGCTATTGATAGCGATAGATTTGTCCTTCGAGGAGCGAAACGCGCGTTCTGTTATTATATAAGAATTAAAATTCATTTTAATGTATGTTTTTTTTTTATTTCAAATTAATCATTCTTACGATTTTTGATGTTGGAAATTTACAAACGTGATGAGTATATATTATAATTAGAGAACTTTGGTTTTGCTATATAAATATACATTCTCATGTCATTCATCTTGTGTCTATTGGAAAATCAATTTACTGTGGACGACAAATATGTGAGCGACAGATATTCATTTCGAAATGAAAAAATATTCTCTCATTCTTTGAACTTATCTAGACATATTTTGTTTTTGTACAGTTTAAATATTACGTTCATGTTAATAATATAATATAGCTATTAAATTCCATATCACACATTTAATATAATGCATATATTAATAGTAATGCCATAATTTAATAGTTTAATAATTTAATAATAATTTAATAATTAATAGTAATACAATTTTGTACTATAGTAATTTTCTTTCGTATATTAATTTTTAATTATTATAATTATTTTTATTTTTATAATTATAATGTATGCATAACTATATAGTAGGAGATATTCATATTATTGCTATAGTTTTCATAGAAAAGCCTTGATTTTTTAATAATTCGAAATTAATCCCCGAGTCCTAGTTTATTTTTTATCTCTAAAATTTTATGTATTAATTTAAACATTCTTTTAAATAACTTCATATCAATAGAGAGAGAGAAAGAGAGAGAGAGAGAGAGAGAGCAATTTATTCATTCCTAAAAAAAAATAATCATTTAATATCTATACATTTTTTACATACACTGCCGGCCAAAAGTTTGGATACACTATTAAAAAATCAGAAATTATAAGGAAAATATGTTTTTATTGAATAGCTTTATATTTAAATAATTATTTTATGTTATAAAAACTTAAATAATACATAGTAAACTTAAATTAAACTAAAATTCAACTTTTTAAATATTTCTGATATAAAAGTATCAAACGCTTTTTTCGTCGAAAAATGACCCCCGTTTTTTTATGACCATTTCCACAAGACGCGGCATTCTTTCAATCAGTTTATTAATAGTATTTTGTTGTAAAGATGTCCACGCATGTTGTAACTGTTGCCACAGTTCAGCAGCGGATGACAGGTTGTACGAATTTTTCTATCAAGTTCTTCCTAGAGAAGTTCGATAGGATTTAGGTTTGGAGATTGTGGTGGCCAGAACATATTGACAATAATCCCATCAGCTTCTTTCCTTTCTTTTGGGCGGCAGTGTAAATGTTACATTTTCTTTTATTTTTATATATTCTGAATATCAAAAATTTCAAAATCTAAAGATCAAAATTCTTTTTTTCTCAATTTTTCTTAAT